TCTTTCATTATATGCGCTCTGAATAATGTTTTTTCTTTCATTATATGCGCTCTGAATAATGTTTTTTCTTTCATTATATGCGCTCTGAATAATGTTTTTTCTTTCATTATATGCGCTCTGAATAATGTTTTTTCTTTCATTATATGCGCTCTGAATAATGTTTTTTCTTTCATTATATGCGCTCTGAATAATGTTTTTTCTTTCATTATATGCGCTCTGAATAATGTTTTTTCTTTCATTATATGCGCTCTGAATAATGTTTTTTCTTTCATTATATGCGCTCTGAATAATGTTTTTTCTTTCATTATATGCGCTCTGAATAATGTTTTTTCTTTCATTATATGCGCTCTGAATAATGTTTTTTCTTTCATTATATGCGCTCTGAATAATGTTTTTTCTTTCATTATATGCGCTCTGAATAATGTTTTTTCTTTCATTATATGCGCTCTGAATAATGTTTTTTCTTTCATTATATGCGCTCTGAATAATGTTTTTTCTTTCATTATATGCGCTCTGAATAATGTTTTTTCTTTCATTATATGCGCTCTGAATAATGTTTTTTCTTTCATTATATGCGCTCTGAATAATGTTTTTGTTTATAGAGCTAGAATAGTATTTTTTTTTTAGTTTTTTGAATAAACTTTTGTAAATTTGATCAATTATTTTATCTTTATCTGGTTTTAGTTGTTTAACTTATAGTTTTTGATTTTTGAAAATTTCTAAAGATCTTAAGAAATTTAAAATTTAGTTTTTTTTGGTTTTGGTTTTTAAAAAATTATTTCATGTAATGAAAAATTTGTATCATAGATGTTAAATGTTTTAAAAAAGTCAATTTAAGTAATATTTATATCAGAATTAAAACATATATGGTTCCAGTCAATCAAAGTGAAAGACGCACTTTCAAAGAGGTTAGGTTATTATTGTAAATCCACCCTTATATAATTATTTTTTCATGATTCTGTTGCTTACAATCCTTGCATATATATGTAAAAAACAAAAAATAGTTGGATGCATCAGTTTTAATATTCATCAGAATATTAAAAAAATCAGTGGTTAAGATATTGTCAATTAATAATAATGAAAATTTTGTAAGTTTATTTGATCGTTTAATTATTTGTATTGTTTTTGTTTCAAATAAGTTGTTGTGAAAAGTTTTAATATTTTTATTTTCATATTAATTTTAATTTCAAATTCATAATTTTGCAATCATAAGTTAAAATCTCATGTTATTTTATTTCTTCTTTAAGTTTTTTCTAATAAGTTTTTTTTTTCCAATAACAAGCTTATTATTGTTCCATTCTAAAATAGTCAGATAAAACTTTTTATAAATTTAAACAGATTTACACCTTCAAATAACCATTATTATTCTCATCAATTTTTAAAAAATTAAAATGCATTTAAATACTTATTTGGATACAAATAAGTATTTAAACTTTTATTTGGATAAATATAAGTGAGTTTAAACGTTTATTAGGATAAAAATAACTGCATTCAAATTCAGATGTGTTAATTTCATAACAATAATTTAAATCTGAATCAGTTCTATCATTGAAGATAAAGGTAATAGTTTGAAAAAGTTAAATAATTTTTCAAAGTTATGTTTATTTGAATCCATTTTAATATCTCAAAAAGTATATATATTTAAAAATCATGTTAATATAGTTTATTGCAAAGAACCTTTGCAAATTTTCTTTTTTTTTTTGCAAAGGTTCTCTACAATAAACTATATTAAATTTTTTGTTAAGGTTCTCTACTATAAACTATATTAAATTTTTTGCAAAGGTTCTCTGCTATAAACTAGATTAAATTTTTTGCAAAGGTTCTCTACAATAAATTATATTAAATTGATTTATTTTTTTTGTCTTTAAAACATTTTGCAATTCTTCGTTTTCTTTTGTTAGATCTATTGTTCTATATATACATGAAAATTAACCATCATAGATATCATAGATATTGACATATCTTTAAACAGCAATATTTTTCAAACGACATAAAAACATAAAAATCACGATTTTCTTTTGAAATATTAAGTATTGTTTCTAAAATTTCCAAATTAAACTTCATAGTGTGTGTACAACAACTTTGTGTACAAAAATGAAAAATTTTTGTTTTGAAAATGTAGCATAAGTTTAATATTATTCTAACTTTTTTTTGGTGATGCAGCTGAAATAAATTGTTCAAATTTTTTGAACTAAAAATCTTTTAAATTTTATCCATAACATCAATAAAGCAATCAGAAGGACCTGTGTTTCATATGATATACCAAAAAGGCTTTGATAAACAATTTTTTTTTTTTTTTAAAAGTAAATAACACAAATGCAAAGTAAGTTATTTTAATGGCAAAATTGTACTCAATGTTTTAAAACGTTGCAATTAAGTTGCTCAAATCAATTTTCAAGAGATGACATAATTTAGGTACAAGTTTCTTAAATAAATAGACATCATTGCTTGGTACAGTGCACCACAAAATCAAATAATCATGTTCAAATAAGATTTAGCAGCAATTTGTTACCAGTTCTATTCAAAGATAAAATTACTTTACTTATTTAAGCATTGTTACAGATTAGATAATAATGCAATAAATGTAATTTCAATAGATAAGTTTAAGTTTATGAAAATTTAAACTTTTAATTTATTGAAATATAATTTTTTGAAGTTTAACAGATTTAATAATAAGTTAGACTTGATCTAGAAATTTCCAAAATACAACATTTACCTATAATAAGTATATAAAGTTAATTTTCATCAAATAAATTACAATTGTAATAAAAACCTCTTTTCATTTACAGCTTCCATTCTGTTCCATGATGAACCATGTAATATGTATTTGTTAATCTTTAACTTGATTTTTGTTACCATATAGTCTTGATTTTCTTTTTTTGAACATTAGGTTTAAGCAGTTTCATTTTTATTGTCTTTTTTTTTTTACATCAAGTACTTGCAACAGTCTTTTATACACTTTATATATATATATATATATATATATATATATATATATATATATATATATATATATATATATATATATATATATATATATATATATATATATATATAAATTTTTTTTTTCAGAAACACTTAATGAAGTAAACTTATTAAGAAGTCCAGCATGTCTAACTTTATCAAAAGCTTTTGATATGTCAAGGGAAATAGCCCTGGCCTTGCTGGGTCCATCTAATGAACTATAAATTTTTTCAGTTAGAGCTGTTAGCAAGTCAGTTGTAAAGTGAGAAGATTGAAAATCATATTGATTATCAAAGTGTTAGTTATTAGACCCAAGATAGGATGTTAGAAAATTGTTGATTAAAGACATAAAGAATTTGCTAATAATAGAGAGATGACTAATCAGGCAATAGTTGGAGTGATCAGAGTGTTCTCCAGAGTTTTTAAAAATTGGAACTAAATATGCCATTTTCCAGCAGGCAGGAAAACAAGACTTAGTCAAGGGCTTTTTAAATAGTTTATAGAGAATTGAACAGAGTTCTGGAGAAAACTTTTGTAAGTCTTAAAAATTTTTTGACATGAATGTTTTCTGGACCACAAGCCACAGGAGTTATTACCAATCAAACGGCAAATTGTCTGATAAATTTTGTGAAAGGTAAGATTCAACTGATGAAAACTTTGAAAACCACAAATATTTGTAAAAGATATATTAAGAACCATTAAACTGAGTTTTAAAACTGCACCCTAAGTAGGATATAACAGGAAGAGTTGCATAGCCACTATCAAGGAGGCGCAAGTAAAAATTTATGAGAATATTCTAAAAGGTCATCCATTCCTTTGGCATCCATTTCTTTGTCATTTTAGCATCCATTTATTATCCTAGGCAGGAAACATTGTATCACAGATTTACATCTACTGCAGCTTAATAGATGAAGAAATGGTGTGAGGCTAGTTTATAGAATTAATCTAAAGTCTTTACCTAGGAGGCAATTAACATCTGCCCAAGATAAGTACTCTATTCGAGACACCTTCTCTAGCTCTAAAGCAGTGCAATTTTAAGTTCGAGTTTGTTTCTACTATGATTTTTCAAAAAAAAAAAAACCTGACAAAATAGCAGGATATGGAGTTGGTAGTCTGGGTTTCATGTAACTAGTAGCAGGATGATTGTGATGGTCCTAAACCTGATCTAACCTGGAATAATTAAAGGAAGTTGTTTCTGTAAGCAGAACTTTAGAATGTTGAAGGCAGATTTTGGAAATACATTAAGAAAAACTTTACATCTAAAGAAATACTGAAAATAAAGATAAGAATGTTATATAGTTGGAGTCACTACTTGGTAACTGAGCTGATATTACAGCAGAAATTCAAACAGAACACAAACAAATAATAATTTATCTTATAGCTCTTATGTAATTAACTTTATATTAAAAGATACTTTATCAAAAAATGATTGAGTTGAATATTTTCATATAGAAGTCTTTTTGTTTTTATTTTGAAATAAGCTTAAGAAGAGAACATCCAAAACATGCAGCAAGATTTAAAAACAATTGAATTTTGACAATTTTATTTCAATTTAGTATAAAAAAAGTTGTTGATAAAGTTTTTATGAAACATTTTTTCATTTTTATTTGATTTTTTTAAATTTAAAACAAATAACACATTTTTTACTACTTTTATACTATTTTTAACTATATTATGTTTTTAATCACACTTATTTTTTAATCTATATAATGTGTTTAATAAAACTCAATTTAATCTATTTTTTAAGTACAAGTTCTTTAAAATTTTCAATTTAACAATGAAAGTATTAGTTTTAGCATCCCATTATTTTAAAAAAAAGCAAAACTTACATTTGGATTTTTAAAAAAAAAATCAAAATGTAATTTGTAAAAAGTTAACTTGTTTAAAACTTAACTTGTTTATTATTCGTTAAAATGATGCAAAAAAGTTTTCGGTTAAAAATATTAGATAAATTAAATTATATAGTATAAAAGTATTAAATAATTAAATTCTCAAAAAATTAGGTTATATAATTTATAATAATTAACTTTTTCTAGGTAAAAGAAGAACATAATTTACATTCTGGTATACTAGATTGTTGCTTATTTTATCTTAAAACAGAGTTTGTGGGTATGTTTTTGTATACTTTGTATACTTTTAAATGTCTTCAAATTTTGTGTTACTTTATCTAAAATCTTAGATCTAAAATCTAGAGTAGGATAATCAACTAATCTAGAGTAGGATAATCAACTAATCTAGAGTAGGATAATCAACTAATCTAGAGTAGGATAACCATCTAATCTAGAGTAGGATAACCAACTAATCTAGAATAGGATAATCAATTAATCTAGAGTAGGTTAATCAACTAATCTAGAGTAGGATAATCAACTAATCAATTCTTGTTGACCCTGAAAATTCCTAAATCAAGACTCATGATTAAGGGTTTTCATTAACCAGAAGTAAAAAAGAATTAAAAATTAATTGTGTGGAGTAAAGTATCTCAAAGGTAAATTCTGTACAAGTTGCAATCATAATGGTATTGTGGTATTGCAGTCGTATTGTGCACCAAAGTGTCAAATGTAGTTTTTAGTCATACTGAGTGACTTATTTACTAATATGGTCTTCAAATTAATATACCAATCAAAAAATATTAAACTTTAGACATTGTTTATAATTAAAACTATTTTTATAATCTTGATAATGCTAATAATACTTACACAAAATTTCTTAGTGCACTTTAATATTTTTTTATATTTAAAAAAAAGTATATTAACCCTGATTAGGGTGACAATTAGTTAAAATTATTTAAGAAAATAATATTCACTTTTTTTAACTAGGTCTTAGGCAGTTACAATCAAAAAATTAAATTAGTCAACATGTCTAACCGACTTGTGTTCCAGAAATATAAGGCAGTAGTAAGAATTATTTTGTATCCAACTTATTTTCGAAGGATCATTATGTCTTTCTCTAAAAGCTTTGAATCATGTTCTTCTCTATTAGCAAATATCTAACACTTAAAAAAAACACACCAAGGGAAAAAAGCATCAAGTTAATCAGAAGAAACAGCAGTAGTTTACAAAATAGGATTAAACCAGGTCAACTAAAAGTTGAAACCAAAGTGATCACGAGCTTAAAAGTAGTTCTGATGAACTCAATCAACATGACATTGATAACGAAATAATTATTTTACTATCAAAAAATTGCAAACTGTCTTAGACAAATTTCTTCTCAGGATGTATGGTCAATCGCTGGAACTCACTTGATAATGTCTTATTTTAAAGCTTACATAATAGATTTAATATTGAATAAATTTTCATTCAAACAAATTTTTTTACTTTTTCTTTTCTTATTCTATCATTTAAGTTTATTGTGTCAAAGTTGTACTAGTACTGCTGTATAATTATTGTAGCCTAAATTTACTAAAACAGTAATAAACAATAGTTATGGCCTCTATTTAGAATTGCTTATGTCTATTAAAAATTTAAATAGTTGTGAGTATAGTAATAATATTTTGTTTTTGAGTTGTGAAGTTTTAATTAAAAAATGTCAAAATTAGCCTATATCATATTTTGTCAATGCCCTTAAATAGTTTGATATTTTTAATTTACCTTTATCAATATTATTTTATTATAATTATCTTATATATAATAATATTTCTGTATTATTTCTTATATATTCAATGTAATATTTATATTGTTTATAGTTGATATGATAAGTGCTGCATTTAACAACTCAAATAGGAATATATTTTATGGTATCAAAAATAAAAAGACATTTTTTAGAACTGCTTACAGATCGATGTTGGTAAGAGTTTTGACTTATTTTGTTTGCATATTATGTTTTATATTTCATAATATTAAAATGAATATTTAGAAAAAAAAACCTTTTTTTTAGCTCTTAAAATTATATTTGTATTTATATTTGATGTTAAACTATTAGTGATTTTAACTATTCACTGAAGAGTATTTGATGCCAAATATGAAAATTTCATTGGTTTTTAAAAATAGGCTTATTTATCGATAATAATTAAAAATCAGGAGAAAAATTGCAAATCGGGATTTTTTCACAATTTTGATCTTTTTGTTACTTTTTTTAAAAAAAAATTATTTTAAATTAAAATATTTAAAATATTTTACACAAAAATTTATTTATATGTAGATTTTAAATATCGTGAAAATATCGTTTTATTAAAGGGTTAATAAAAAACTTGAGAAATAATAAAATAATGACCTAATAAAACAGTTTTTTTTAATATTTTTTATAACTAGATTAAAATCTTCAGATGTATTAAGGTTAGCACAATAAGTCTGTTTTAGTTTTCTCAAATGAGGGCATGTACCATAGACAGTGTAAATAGACTGAATTTTATCACGCTTAAGATGCATTCATAAACTTTTTCAAATTCAAAAAACATGCTGTTTTTTTACTATTACTTTGTGTTATGAATGTCTTTTTGCAGTAGTTTAATATTTCAGACATCTTATATATTAACTTTTATTATATGTATGAATTGTTCCATGTTTAACTTGCTCTAAGCAACTTTATCAAAAGTTTGCCTATTTTGCAGCTTGAATTAAAACTCTGAATTCAAGCTTTAAAAATTTAAAGCTTGAATTAAAACTCTGAATTCAATTAATTTAAAGTTGGTCTGAAGAATAAAATCATCTAAAAGTTTTTGAGTCTGATAAATAGATAATAATAGCCACATATTCTGCTTAGCAAAAGAATACTTATGCTGTTACTTATATTGCTCAGCAAAAGAAAAATATTGCAAAAGTTACTTATTCACTTATAGTTATTGTGATTTTTAAGGAAGGTCAAATTGGTTCATATTCCTTTAGCAAAAAATATTGGCTAACTCATATTTTACAGAAAACTATTTTGTATTTCTCAATAGAAAAAATTCAAACTTAAATTAGGTTGTTAGAAAGTTCAATAAACTGTTTATACGGTCATTGCATGTTTTATATATTGGCTAAAGACATGCATAATATTTTGCATATCGTTAGTTATTGTTTTATTTGTTTTACAGTTATTGCTCATCTTTAGATTAATTAAATTTACTGCACTTCTATTTTTTACAGGTGAAAGATGTGATTTCTATTTCACTTTTTTCTAATCAAAAATCCAAGCGAGATTAAGGGCAATTAAGGCTATTTGAAAAAACCAACACCACTTTTTCAGGAACCTTACGTGTGGTCATCTTTTTATTTAAAATTTTTTTGAATTATTGTTTATAGTTTTAGATGCCTCTAGAAAGTATTAACTAATTTACATAAACTTAAAAAAATTAATATTAGCTTTTATAAAGAAAATTATAAAAAAAATTTTATTTAGAGTATTTGCTTAATTTCATATTCCATATTTTTATACAATTTCAATATTCTGTCATACATAGCTGCCAATACCAAGAAAAGGTTGAGTTTACAATTGCTGTTATCTTGCAAAGATTTTGCATCAACTTGTTGATGGAAAAACTGTTACCAGTTTTTCTATCGACATGTTGATAGAAAAACTTTTCTCTAAGTTTTTAAAACAATTTGAAAAGCTGAAAAGTTTAAAGAATTGCAATAATAAAATAATCAAGATAATGTAAAATAAAATGTAGTATAATATAAAATCAAGATAATGTAAAATAAATGTAATATAATAAAAAACAAATTACGTTAAAAGTAAAATAAGAATTGTTATTAAACTTAACAATTTAGTAATATTAAGTTATTATATTTAAGAACAAGTTAAATAAAATAATTTGATTTTATAAATTAACATCAATACTCAATAAAAAAAATAAAAATTTAGAATAAGTTTTAAATTATTACTTTTTTATTAAGTATTTTATATCTGCTAGTATTTTCAGTTTTACAGTTGCTAAGCAATCAAAATAGGGTTTTCTTGTTCAAAATTTTGTTTTTACTTTTATAGGTACAAAGTATAATAAATAGGTATACTTTTTGTGCAGACAAAAGTGAAGAGTCTGTTGAAATAAAAGGTACCTTTTTTTTTTTTTTTATTTTATTTTATTGAAAATAATAATAATAACATTAGGGGAGACCATGGGCGAGTTGACAGCAGAGGTAAGTTGACGAACTTTGTTTATCTTCAGAGCCTTTCATCAGAAAGTGACACAAATTACACAGAACCTTCCTAATTGACCATTTCATCATTCATTATAGTATTGTTAGGATTTGCGCATGCCATAATAGATGTTAGGATTTTTTGGACAACAATGTAAATTTTAAAATATCGCTTCCTTTTTACTTTACAAAGAAAATTACTAGTCATATTAAAAAATTATTGTAAAAACTCTAGTCACAATTTACTGTTTCCAGTCAGACTTTTTTTTATCTATAGACTGTTTATTGAAAAAAGGCTTTTGGGGGAAGTTGGCAAAATTTTTATGGGGGAAGTTGGTTCATAGCATTTACTATGGAAAAAAGCATATATTTTTATAAAATTAATTTTTCTTTATTTTTTAAATTTTTAATGGGGTAAGTTGGCTCATAGCATTTACTATGGAAAAAAACATATATTTTATAAAATTAATTTTTTCTTTTTTTTAAATTTTTCATTCATATTCATGGGGTAAGCCAACTTACCCCATGAACAATATTGTTCATGGGGTAAGCCAACTTACCCCATGAACAATATTGAAAAAATTTGTTTTACAGAAAGAAAGAAAAAAAATTTTTTAGTTTTTTTTTTTACAGTTAAAAAGTGGGCTATTGTTTTAACTGTTACTAATTTTAGTAACAGCCAAAACAGTAGCCCACTTTTTATCTGTAAAAAAAAAAAAATTATAGTATTTAGTACCAGATATTTATATATATTTAGTACCAGATATATTTAGTACCAGATATATTTAGTACCAGATATATGTATAGTAAATATTATAATATTTAGTTTTATATGTAAATATTATAATATTTAGTACCAGAATACATAATATTTATTACCAATAATATTAAATTTTTGACCTAAAATTGTTGCCAAAATAAATAATAAAAAAATTTCAATAAATTTTGCACTTAATAGTATATTAATAATCATTTTTATAGTTTGCGCCAACTTACCCTGGGGTGGGGAAAGTTAGCTTTATTTTTTTTACTTTATTTGAACCTCAGAGGGGGTCTAAGAAAATTTTTTTATGATAAATACAAGTTACAAACATATTACCTAAATTCATACTTTTTAAGAATGTGCTTTAATATTTACAAAAAATTTCATTAAGGCTACAAAGTTCAAAGAATAAAAACGGAGACAACTAGCCTTGGTCTCCCCTACATCTTGTTGCTTTAAAATGGCCATTCCACATTTTAAAATGTAGCATTTGGCTTTTTTTTTTAAATCAAAGTATTAGATTTCAGAAAACAGAAAAAATTAATTATGTAATTTTTTCTTTATTTTTGTGATTATTATATATTGAAATCTTTATGGTCTTATCACAAAGTAATATGAAAGACCATTTAAAGAAGTTCACACTCCCTTCCTTACCAATCTTGCTTTTTGGGCTAGAGCCAGTGTGGAATAATATAAAAGATAATAGATAATTGATTTCAAACAAAATTATGTTTTATCTTGAATTAAAAAAAATTATTTTTTGTTCAGCTCTTTTGTTCAGCTCTTGCAATATATTTTGTAGTAATTTTTGCTTAAATTTGTTAGGCATTTTATAAAGTTTTCATAACATTTTTAGACTATTTTTAAAAGATAAAGAGAGGCAAGATTTATATTACATTATGATTTTATGTTTTAACCAGTATAAAGCTGTTATGTTTAAACCAGTACAAGGCTGCAAGCAAGCACTATTAGAGTTGAAAGTTACTGAAAAAGAAAAGAAGAAGTTTATAGAGCAAGATAACGATTGACAGACAACTTAGAAGATTGCAAATTATATGAATCAGGAAAAAAGATGAAGGAAGCAAATTTCAAAGAACTGATGTTCGAGGAAAAATCTAGACAAATAAGAATTTTTGGAGCACTTAGGAACTGTCACAGTAAAAAAATGAGACTTAATTGAATGACGAGTAACATAAGAATGAATTTTATTAGATGGTACTAGAGATGCTAGCTCTATAGAGCTGTGCCTATTATAGTGTTTATAGAAAAGAGAAAGAGAAGTAACATTACAACAATGTGATAATGGTTGGAAATTGGTTGCAAGAGCAGGTCCAACTATGTTTACAATGTGTTTTTGCACCTTTTCTCAAAGAGAAATGGCATTATTGGAAAAACTGCCCCAGATATGGCAATATATATGATTCCTTGCCATAAAAATGTTTTTTTTTTCATAAAAAAAGGAACAAAGAGGGTTTGACAAGATCAATTAGTCACTACCTTTTTGTTCTTGGTTAGGTATATTGAATATACAGCAACTTTTTATATAATTTGGAATGGCCATGTTTATTAGTCACTCCTAGGATTTCAATATTATTTATAACAAAATATGCATTTAATTAAATACAGCATTTTTTTAAATGTTTTTTACAATTTTTAAAGAAAGTTGCAATTAAATACATATTATAAGACATATTTTATTGCACCTTTTTTTTAAGTTACATAACGTCTCGATTAGTTACACTTTTAAAAGTTAAAAAAAATAGTCAATTGAGACATAACGTTGCAAAATGATGTCACAAATTTGAGACAATTAAAATGTTACAAATATAGATTTTAGTTTATGTTACATTACGTTTTTTTAAAACTTTTAAAAGAGTAACCAATTGATGCATAACATAATGTTAAAAAAATTTGTATTTAAGACATAATTTAATTGTGCCTTTTTTTATGTTACGTTATGTCTCAATTGATTACACTTTTTTAAGTTAAATAAAAAGCCAGTTGAAATGTAATGTTGTGAATTGAAACTTTATTTTTTTATGTGACAAAGTAACCAGTTAGGACGAAGCTATTTCACAATAAAAAATGAAATATGGTAATTAGCAATACGGCAATGATAAACAAACATCTACAGTGGTATTAACTTTGTTTAGTTGATATTTAATTAAAAATAAGAGAATGTAACCTTGTTACCAATTGTAACCAATTGAGATGTAACGATACTAGTAAAATGTTATTGGGGGCTTATAGCCTGCTGCAACAAGAGAGTGCTGCTACACTGAATATCTTATAGCCCCCTACTACAAGGGAGTGCTGCTACATCAACTGTAGGTTTGGTTGGGGCAGGCAATCTATCAAATAATAAAAATAAAAACTTTTAAACTATTTCCGGTCTTTAAAATTTTTTTTTTTTTAAAAAAACACAGTATTAAACTAACCTAACAGTGGAAAAATTAAAAACGACCAAGCAAGAGTATATATATATATATATATATATATATATATATATATATATATATATATATATATATATATATATATATATATTGTTTACAATTGGTAACAAGGTTACCAATTTAATTATTAATTTAATATTTTGCAAATAAACTTGAAAATGCAGTATATGTTTGTTCAGCATTGCCGTATTGCTAAATACTATCTTTTATTTTATTTTTATTGTAAAATAGCTTCGCTTTAATTGGTTACACAAAAAAAAAAAAAAGTCTCAATTCGCAAGTTATGTCTTGATTGTCTTGTTTTTTTAAACTATAACCGAATAAGGCATAACGTAACGTAACTAAATCGAGATTTGAGACATAACTAAAATACGTCTCAAACATAATTTTTTTTTTAACATTATGTTATGTCTCAATTAAATAACCTTTAAAAAAAAAAGATGTAATAAAATGTAAAAATATTTATATTTGTGATGTATTTTAATTATGTTTCAATTATTAAATGTTTTGCGTTACGTTATGTCTCGTTTGGTTATACTTTTAAAGGTAATAAGTTCTTTAGATTGCTTAAGTACTGCTAAAAACAATTGAGTACATTAAAAAGTTATTTTAACTTTTTAATGTACTTTTTTTTTTTTATCTTTTTCGCTACGTTACTTTTAAAGCTTTAAAAGTTGTATTTATGTTTGAGTAGTCTTTTTTAAAAACTTTTTTTTTAATTTATTTGGTTTCATAGGTTTTGACAAATGTGTTATTGTGTTTTCAGTAATCAAATGCATAAATAATCAAATATATCAATAATATTGTTAATAAAACAATTTTGTTAAATACCGTAACTCATGATCAATAGTTACGGTATTTAACAATGCGCTTGTCGAGACACTAAAAAATATTTTTTTAAAACTGCTAATTATCTTCATTTATTTTAATTGTAAAATAGATTTGTTTTAATAGTTTCTTTTTTTTTTTTTTGTAAATGACTTGTTACAAAAAAACAAAAATAAAGTTTCAATTCGCAAAGTTATGATTTAGTTATTTTATTTAAACTTAAAAAAGTGCAACTTTGAAAAGTATAAACTGAAACATAACTTATTGATTAAAAAAATCTATATTTGAGACGTATTTTAACTAAGTCTAAGTGTAACATCTAGATTTGATGTAACATCTAGATTTGATGTAACATTATTTTTTTTTTTTTTTTTTTTTGTCAATAATACTAGCATAATACTTCACGAGTTTTTATAAACCCACAAGTAAAAATGTATATAAAATGTCAACCTTTTTTATGTTATAATTTGATATAATATTCACATTAAATAGCTTAAGCCACTTACGTGTGTAGTATGCACTTTATGTGCTCCTATCTGTTTACACTATCTTATATATATATATATATATATATATATATATATATATATATATATATACACACACAGTCTTGGACAAAAATTTGAAAATGGTGCATGTTTTTCAGATTTAAGACGTTTAATTAAAATTACTTTGGTATTTTAGCATAATAAATCTGTTGCTATGCTGCCATGTTGCTTGTGTAACAATTGTTGAATATGCAAAAAAAAATTTTCACACATAATATTTACAAATAAATCTATCAAATAAGTAATATGAATGATAATAGAGAATGAATGTAATCGTCAAACGTTGTTTTTTGCATTAATGAACAATATATTAATAATTTTTACCTGTACTGTACACATACTGGTGTGAAATACAGATGTAATAATAGAATTGATATACAAGTATAATATTTCAATATCTCTATTGTAAATCAAAACTATAAAAGTACTTGGTGATGTTATTAGTGTATTGTGATACATAATTTGTATATATTTTGATTTTTGTTGTTGTAATTAGATGGGTCGAACACCTGAACTATCAGCTACTAAAAGAGCCCAGGTAGAAATATTGAGATTGCAACAAAAGAGTTTCCAAGAAATTGGAAAAATTTTAAAATATCAGTGGGATCTGCATACAAAATACACAAGAGGATTAAGGAAACTATATTTACCACAATGTCGAAGTGGCAGACAAAAAAAAACACGATACTTTATGATGATAGACTTATTTGAAGGATTACGATAAACTCTCCATGCATAACATCAGCGGCAATTAGAAGTAGGCTCCTGGAAAGTTGCAAAAATATAAGTACTAAAATTATTTGTCGAAGATTATTTGCACATGGATTGAAAAGCTACAAACCAGCTAGAAAACCAAAATTATTAGCAAAGAATATTAAAGATCGCATTAAGTTTTGTAACAGGTACAAACACTAGCGTGAAGCTGATTGGGAACATGCCATGTTCAACGACAAATCAACCTTCACGCAGTTTGCTATATTCCTAGAATTTGGTGCCCACATCTGATGAGTTATAACAATAAGTATATCTTGCCAACAGTAAAACAACCAAAGAAACTGATGGTGTAAGGGAGCATTTGGTTGTGCAGGTTTATGGAACATGCCGGGAGGATTTACTATTAATGGCAATGTTTGCTTAAACAATCTTAAGGAAAAATAACCAAATTTTATGGCAATACATGGTACAAATGTATTTCAGCATGATGGTGCTCCATGTCATGGCATAAAAGCTGTGAAAAATTGGCTCATTAAGTCTGGTTTTGAGATTTTGGGTCCATGGCCGGGTAACTCTCCAGACTTGAACCTGATAGAGAACGTATGGTATACTATGAAAAAGAAAGTTTCAGAGAACAACCCCACATCACAAGCTGACCTTCTGGATAAAATGAAGCAAACCTGGACATCAGAAATTACTGCAGATCATTGTCTTTCCCTTATTCATTCAATGACGCATTGTATTGAAGCTGTGTTAAAAAGTCATGGTGGCCATACTAAATACTGAAAATATTGATTATGCTTTAATATGTCAGTGCTATGACTGCTTTAGTCTGCTAATGTTGGTGCTTTATTTGTAAAATCATTTTATTTCAATTTATTGAAGTTTTACCATGTTACTATAAAACAATGATTTTTTGCTAATTTCTAGTTTTCCAAATTTTATCCAAGACTGTATATGTATATATGAAAAATCAATTAATTAGAAACCATAGGTTACAATGTTACGTGTAATTAGGTCAAAATGTTACATGTTGTTATGTAACATTTTGCAAGTAGCATTACATTACAGTGTTATACTGTTACATAAAATGTTATGTCTCGGTTACGTAAAATAACAGACATTTTGAACATATTGTAACAAATCTCGTTGAAAGGCAAGAAAAAAGTACTGTAAGATTATAGAATAATACTTTAGGTTTAAATGGATTGATACATCATGGAGTGTACAATGATGCCTTTATTCTTCATGAAAGATCAGAGTATGATAGTAAGTTTCCTCCTCCTATCCGAAAAAATCTCCTTGATGATATATCTAATAAAGATTCACGCAAAGAATTGAATGACACATGGCTTAAGTTTTACAAGTTTCAACCACTCTGGAAGATAAGGGACTACTATGGTGAAAAAATTGCATTTTACTTTGCTTGGTTGGGTAAGCTCTTAAAATAAAACATTTTAAAAATATCACTTTTAAAATATTTTGCTATATCTTATGATTAACACACAATCAGCATTTTTTTAAACAATGTTTTACAAAATGTTTTAAACAATATTTTACGCAATGTTCTACACAATATTTTATGCAATATTTTAAACATTGTTTTACACAATATTTTACACTGTATTGCTGGTTGTGTGTTTACAAATATACATTAATACATGTTTGTTAATAACTTTATAAATCTTATTAAAATTAGTAACTGATTACACAAAACTATAAGTTTATATTATTCAATGAATAAACTTATTATAAAGTCTAATTCAGAGTACAATGTACTATTTGTTATATAAAATATTGTTAATGAAAATTTAGTTAAATATATTTTATATTAGAATTTTACCCAACATAAAAAAATTTTTTGTAAGATTTATGTTACCTAACTAGGGGTGGTAGATTAATTGGTATTTTACATTAATTGATTAACAATTAAATTTCGAAAAATTAATCGATTATTTTTCAATTAATATTAGGAAAAATTTGTTACAAAAACTTAACAAATAGTAATTGATATTTTTATGATTTTATTTCTCTTTTCATCAGATATGATCTTAAAAACATAAATTATTAACAGTGTCATCATTTAAGCTAGTTCTTAAATTAGTGACAAATAAATCAGCTGTACTAAAACTTCTTTCTGCTTCTATAGAAGACGAGGGAAGACTTAGCATGGCATTATTAATCTTTTATAAAGAACTTGGCCTGTTTCCAGTGCTTTCTAGTACTGCAATTTCACGTTTAATCCAATTCAAAACTTCTTGAGGGGAAGACTTACAAGTTAGCCCTTTAGTTTTTCCCGCTGCTGAAGTTGTATTATATATTATTTCTGCTAATTCTTCAGCTTTAGTTTTTTTTTATATTAACAGCTCTTTCTGAAGGTAATGAACCATTTATTCTAATCATTCCAAGACCATAGTGACATTTGTCTGAACAATGTACATTAGGACATAAATACCTTCTAGTTATACCAGAAGTATACTCATCAAGAGAAATTGAAAACCTTTCTCCTTTTAATATTTTTTTGCTGAAGCTCTTGAACAACTTTTAACTTTATTAAGTTTGTTTAGTTCATAACAATTGTCTTTATAGCATGTCGATCATCAGGAATTTAAAGTCCTTGAGCTTTCCAGCCATTTTTAATATCTTTGCTATTGGCCAAAGTTGCAAAAGGAATACAATCAACAGCAGTTAAATGAGCTAATGCATCTTTGCTACCTATATTATTACAATAGGCAGCAATATTTAGCTGTATATTTTTAGACTTTTCTGAAAGAACTTTTGTTAAAAAAATTTTATGTTTGTGCTCTAAATGATACAAAAAACTTGAAGTTGATGAATGGAATTAAAGTTTGACTGAAAAATGTTTGCACTTGTATGTTGATTTGTCTTTATTTTCCAATAAAAAATGTTTCCAAACTTCAGAGCGTTTTTTTCCAAACGACAGTGTAAATGGTGTTCAAGCAGCCACACTATGAAAAAGCATTTTTTTTGTTTATAATTATGTTTGACTGGATGTCAGATAAAAGTCAACACAAGTCTTGTTCTTTAAAAAAATGCTTGTAAATGTTCGCAAAAATCTTTAAAACAAAAAAACGCAAAGTTATATTAAAAGTTATATTATATGTTATATTAAAAAAAAAATTAATCGATTAATCGCTTGTTAATTTATTTAATTAATGATTAATGATTTTTAATCAATTAATCGTTAATTGTTCACCACCCCTATACCAAACATAAAAAAAATTTTTGTAAGATTTTAATGTTGGATTTTATGTCGAAAAATGAATTTTGACAAGCCTTAAAAGTTTGGATCTTCAAAGGGAGTTTCAAAATAATTCATGCAAATTTTATCAAGTTTAGTATAATTGAAACTAGCTATATACTTTTTTATATAAAATTGTTTAGGTGTTTTAATAACTTCACTTTGGATTCCTGCTTTACTTGGGATTGCAGTGTTTTTGTATGGCATAATAACTTTGTGAGAAGTTTTTTTTGAAAAAATTTACTTTGTTATTAAATATACACCAGATATGTAATAAAACCAAGAAAAGACAATACTCAACATTTAAGACCAAGTCAATACCAAGACATTTATATATTTTAAGTTGCAAAGTTTTGGGCTTAATGGTTTTAAGAGCTCACAAATCAATCTAATGACCTTTTTTTTTTTATTGTAAATTTTTTATTTTTAAACAAATTGAATGGCCCCAATGTCTTAGTTTACTTTAGGCACTCTGTACGCCCTAATCTGGTAACCCAAAAAGGTACAATTTTTACAAATTTAGATATGATAAAGACAACTAACTTTACTAAAATAATTTTAATGCAACAAATAATGCAATGTAAAAAAATTTAACATTTTACACCTTTTATCATCAAATCATGTTTAATAAGGCATGCTCTAGATTTTCACAAAGTATGCAGTTTAATAAGTATGATAAAATTAATAGTTTTGCTTATATATAAATAAACTTTGATATTAATAATGCTGTTTACTTTTGAAAAGCATGCTATGTATGTTTTAATTTGCTAATTGAAATAATTAAAATAATGATTGTTTTATTTTTTATAAAAATAAAAAAAAACTCATTTTTCGGTATAAAAATGAATTTTTTTTTTTTTTTTTTATATATTTTACTATAAAAGAAAAAACAAAATGCATTGTGTCATTATCTGTTTATTAATGAGTCTTGAAACTTGTTGAGCCCATTATTTTAAAATTAAGACTAGACCAAGTCTTAAAGTCTAAAAACAAGACAAAAACTTGACTATTTCAAGACTAAGACATAAAATAGCAGACATCAAGTGATACAACAACACTGATATTTATATATTATAAAATACATTTATATTACAATGTGTATATATATATATATATATACACATAATGCACTTATGTGTATGAAAATGTATGTATATATACATGTACAGTTACTAAAAAATATTTAGTTTAAATATTATTATTGTTGATAAAGTTAAAACTCAAACAATAAAAACAAAATTATTTACATCAGGGTCTACATAACTGCAATAATTTTATGTTTTTTTTTTTTAAATTAGAAACAAATATATTTATAACTTTTTTCAGCTCATTGCAAAAGTAACTTTATTAAATGAAATTAGCTGTTTACAATTTTTTCGCTCAAAATAAATGTGACAAAATGTAAGAAACATCTTTTCATTATGAAGTATAATATTTTGTTAATTTTTACAAATGCAAGATGCTGTGGTGCAAAAAAGTATAAATATCATGTCTGATTTTCATTTTTGTACTTTTTTGCACCACCTCTTGTTTTGCGACTGTTTCTAAATATCTTGGCTTTTTACAAGCTTTAGGATAAAGTCAGCACTAATTGATTTCCAAGTTTCAATAAAAAATTCATAAAATTCTTTTTTGTTTGTTTGTTTTCAAGAAGGTATTTTGGATTTAAATATTAATCATGCCCATAAATTTTCAATAGAGTTAAGGTCTATGCTTTCTGGCAGCCATATAGGGATGTTAACTTTACTTTTTTTGAGGAATTGTTGTGCCACTTTGTTGGTGTGTTTGGATAAATGTTTTGTTAAATGTTTTTTGAGACTTTTTATTTATTTATTTATTGTTTGTTTTTTGCCTTGTCTTGTTAAATGAATAATTTGCAATCTAAGTTCAATTTTTTAGCGGATTGACATAAATTTTTAGAAAAAAATTAACAGCCATGTCATTATAACTTCAACATTCACACCATTTGAAGCAAAGCATCTCCAAACTTAAGCCACCTCCTTGCTTGACATTCTTTTTAAAATTTATATCTATGAGTGCATCACAAGGTTTCTACCAAACTCACTTTTTATTGCCAAATATTTTAAATTTACTCTCATCAGACAATAACACTGAGTTCTAAAATAACCTACTCTTGTTAATATGCATTTTCACAATTGCTAACCTTTTTTGTTTTGTTTGTATCACTAATGAGAGGTTTACTTTGAAAAACTTTTTCATTGTTAAACCATTTGAGTTAAGTCTTCCCTTTTTTAACAATCTGTTTTGAGGTTATTATTGAATTTTTTCTTTGCTATCTGTTCAGTTAGCATGTCATAAGTTTTAGGGGAGGTGGGAGGGGGCGAAAAGTTTTTTCTGGTTTTCAACAGAAGCAGTTGTTTGCATATTTTATACACATCTTTCTAAAACCACATATTGATATTTAATTGTATTGTATATTAATATTGTAAGGTTAAGCCCTTTTTTTGATCACAAATGACCTAAGATCTGATGTGAATAATTTTGATGATAAATTATTATTATGAATGAATAATATTATGATGTGAATAATTTTGATGATAAATCATTATTATTGTTTTACTTTTTCTTAAAAAAATTCTAAAAAATATAGTTAAAATATTTTTGATAACTTTAATAAAATGTTTTTAAAAATAATCATTTTTATTAAGTAGGTGTTGACAAAACTTTATATTTTATAATAAAAACTTAAATGTTTCTTACTTTTATCACATTTTGGAAGCAAAAATTGTTTTGGAAGCAAAAATTGTTTTGGAAGCAAAAAATTTAAAAAGATTTAAAAAGAATTATAAATATTTTTCTTTGGAATCAAATTAAAAAAACAACATAAAATTATTGCATTTATATAGACCCTGAAATAAATAATTTCATTTTTATTGCTCAAGTTTTGATTTTATCAGCAATTTTACTATTACTGTTTATGACTGTGTATATATATATATATATATATATATATATATATATATATATATATATATATATATATATATATATATATATATATATATATATATGTATATGTATATATTTATATGTATGTGTATATATTATATGTATATATAGTTAGTTTGTTATATCGGGGAAATGAAGCTGTTATTAATTTTCTTTCTGAATTTGTTCGATAAGAATTTCATATTTCTTTGATTTTATTATTTCATTTGGTTTTAGAAGTGAAGGTAATACTTTTTGTAAAAATACAAATTTCTTTAAAGTATTTATTTTATTTCAGGTGTTTGAAAAGTAAAGAAAATTTAAGTTTGACATATTTTCAAGTATTGTTACCTCAAGCCTTAGATAATGGAGCAACACCATATTTTGCTTTAATTATATGCTTGTGGGGTAAGTTATTGTTTTTTTAAAATGGTTTTACATTTGAAGAATTCCGGTTTTTGCTTTTAAGGATTTTAGAAATGAATGGATATTACTACTGATTTTTACAGGCAAACAATTTTCCATTTAATTCTTTTTTAGTTTTTCAAAAAAATAACTTTGTAAATTTTAATGTCCAGAAATATTTTTCTGTTTTCTTACTTAATGTCCAGAAATATTTTTCTGTTTTCTTATTTAATGTAACTGATATAATTATAACATTGATAAAAAGTTTTCTATAATTAGCAATTGGAACTGTTGATCTGCATTTTATGTTGAGTTTCTTATAGAACTAAAACAAAATGACACATAAAAATCAAAACAAAATTACAGTTACACAATTATATTGGAATTTATTATTTTACAACATGTAATATATTTTTTAAAATACATCAATCAGTATTTGTTTTTCAATTTGATGCAGTTGCAGAGTGTGTGTTTGACATGTCAGAGATAAGGAGCACTCAGTTTGTTATTCATGTGACTGCTTTTCTTTATCAATATTAATATTTGAAAAATAAATAAAAAAATTTTATTAGCCAGGTTGACTGTGAAATGAATATGCATAAAAAATTGTTCATCATATCATCACCATACTAATCATGGTGATCATGATGATGATGTTGCTGTCATGGTTATTGTCATCACCATGAGCATTATCATCATAACCATTATTATAATCATTGTAATGATTATCATGATAATTTATATTAAAATTATGTTTTAAACATAAGTTTCAAATAACTTTATTAGGAACTATTTTTCTTGAGTTTTGGAAACAAAAAAATGCTGAGTTAGCATACAAATGGGATGTAGATACATATGAAGAAGAAGTATGTGATTTTTATTGTTAAAAGTATTCGAAAGTTTTAAAATATTAAAAAAAAAAAGTAAATTATCAATTCATAATTACTTAAAAAAAAAACTTTTTTAGGAAGTGAATAGACCACAGTTTCGTGGGACAAAAGTTGCACGTGTAAGTAAAAATATTAACTAAACCTATTTTGTTATAAAAATGTTTAAGTAAACATTTTTTAACAGTACTGTTAAATAATATTTGTTTATGTACTAGTTTTTTAAAAATTTAAAATATGCATTTATTAAAAAAAAATTAAATACTAGAAAAATTTTTTCTGGTTTTTATTTTTTTATTGTTATATATTTCAAAACTGATTTTAGGATCCATTTACTGGTAAGCTAGAATCATATTACCCTAAATGGAAAAGGGTTTTAAAGTCAATGGGTTCTTTAGCTGTTATAAGTTTTATGGTATGGAGATTATTTAAATACCTGTATTTGATAGAATGATTATTAAATTTTGTTTAAATGTTCAATTGGTTTTAGATTTTGTTAGTTGTGGCAAGCATAATTGCAATAGTTGTTTATAAAGTTGCTTCAAAAAAATGGTTTTCAAAAGTAGGTTCAGGAATGTCATCATTTACATCATCAGTTTTAAATACCATTTCAATTTTACTTTTGGGAACCTTGTATAAAAATATTGCATACAAACTTACAGATTGGGGTAAATGAAAAAAAGCTTATTTCAAAATTTTTTATTTTAAATGTGTACTCTATACTATATAGCATGTTAATTTTTATAAATCACGTTATGTGTCATAACAACCACAGTTTATAACATCACATTATCTGTTATAACAGCTGCAGTTAATAACATCACATTATCTGTCATAACAACTACAGTTTATAACATCACATATGTCATAACAATTACAGTTTATAAAATGCATCTTCAAATTCCATCTTAAAAATTGCATATATTTAAATGAGATTTTCATTAGGAGTGGTAGAGGTAAGGTGGGTAGGGTAGGGGTGGCAAATTAATCAATTAACCATTAATTTTAAAAATTGCTACCATTTCTTGTTTAATACAAGTCAAAACTTCTTAAAGGGATGACTTACTAGTTAGTCCTCTAGTTCTTCCTGTTGTTGAAGTTATTTTTGATATCATTTTTGCTAATTCTTTGACTTTAGTTATTTGTTCTTATTGGTTCTACATTACAAATAGATTTAATATTAGACTCAGGTGCTACTTCTACTTCATCATGTAAAAACAAATATATGAAAGCTAGTTTAGCAATTTAATTTTTATTTGGGTATTTTAAAAAATTACCTGGTAACTCTCCGATTTAAAGTCATCTGGATAATGCAAGTAGCAAACCAACAATAACATATTTTTTTCTTTCAGTAATTCTCTCAGAAACAACAGTAAATATTTTTTAACCAATGTTTGCATTTTGTTCTCTAAGATTTTGTTGTTAAAACAAAATAGTTTTATCAGATTTTATCAGATCACAGTCTTCTTTTCCAAATGCTATAACACTCTACAACATGAAGAATAATATCAGAGATGTGTTTTATTTCTTCTTATTTAAAATCAAATCTGTTCTGAATATATCCACAAGAGCTTTTCTAATAACATTTTTTTAATTCCAAGAATCATTTTAACATACTGATTAGAGAATTCCGTCTTGTTTTAGTATCCAGAATAGGCCCATGCACTTTTCCTAAAACTAATCTACAAATGCTTTGTAGGGTATCATTTTTTAGTGGCGATTTTCTAAACAGCTTGACAATTTTATGAAACTTTGATATAATAATACCATAGTCATCATTAAATTGCATTTCCTCAACAACAGAACTGATACTTTCATCATTGTAGCCTTCTTCATTATCATTGTAGCCTTCTTCATTATCATTGTAGCCTTCTTCATGATCATTATCAGGGGTGGAACAAGATTATTTATTTTCATTTGTTTCTTCCATAATTAGTTCTTCTCCGGTTTTTTTGTTGCTAAATCTTTTTTCTTATAAAGAACATACTGCCCATAACTCCCATTTCTCACCCCATTTTTCACATATCTGATGCTTCATCAGTAATACCTAAAGATATCATTAATCACGTTTTAGCCAAAATCATTTAACTTTTCAATTACAAATTAACTGCTTTTTCTGAAGACATTGAATAGTTTATTTTAATCATATCAAGGCCATAATAAAATTTATCTGACACAAAGTACCTACTAGTTGCACATGTCAAGTCCACTCATCAAAAGAAATTAAAAACATTTCTTCAGTTATTTTTTTTTTTTGTTTTTGCTGAAGCTCTTGAGTAACTTTTAATTTTGAATTTTTATTGAGCTTGTGTAATTCACTAAATTACATTTTTTAGCATGTCCATCATTGAGGATTTTAAGCCCTTGAGCTTTCTAGCCATTTTTAAAACTTTTGCTATTGACCAAAGTTGCAAAAGGAATACAATCTACAGCTGTTAAACAGCTGTTGTCTTTTCTGAAAACTTTTGTATGGAGAAATTTTATCTTTGTGCTCTAAATGATATAAGAAACTTGAAGTAGATAAATAAAATTTAATTTCGATGGAACAATGTTTTTATTTGTATAATGATTTCACTTTGTTTTCTAATAAAAAAATGCTTCCAAGTTGAAAATTGGTTGGAAATGTTTTCAACATTTCCATCATTTTTCAACAGCTTTCAACAGCAACAGTTTTCAAAAGCATCAATTTTCAACAGCTTCCAACTAATTTTTAACAATTTTTTTACCATTACTGGAAAAGTGAAAATGATTTTTATTGTTTCTTAAAATATGCTGATTTTTTATTATAACAACAAAGTGTTAATAAAAAGAACTCTAACAATTATAGCATTTTTAAACAAAAAATTAATTGATTAATTGTTTGTTAATTATTCAATCAACATCCATCTATATATAACATTATCTATGCACAACATTGTGTTCATTTTTTTGTCGACTGAAAAAATAAAAAATGCAAAAATGACATTGTGTTCGTTTTTTTTTTTACATAGTTGTATTGTTCATATTATAATTGTAAAAAAATTAGACATAAACAGATACAATATAACATTTTTCAAAAACTTTTTTTAAACAGAAAACCATCAAACATCGAGTGAATATGAAGATTCACTTATACTTAAGTTGTTTGGTTTTCAATTCATTAATTCTTATGCTTCACTCTACTATATTGCATTTTTTCGAGAGGTAATTTTTTTTTTATCATTGTAATTGCTTCTATTGAATACCACCTGTTATAATTTAATCTGGGTAAACATTTTCCAATTAAAATGAGATAACAATCCAAGTATTAACATGTCGTTGATAATGTAACATAGATGACACAAAGTAATGGCGTCTTCAACATGGGGTCAGATTATTCTGATGGTTGTGGTGAAAATGGTAATTGTATGTCTCCATTATCAATGCAAGTTGCTGTTCTTCTTATAGCAAAGCCAATGCCCAAATTTTTTTCAGATATTATTAAACCGTAAGTAGAACACCATTACTAACTTATTTAGGTTTCATACTTTTTGGTGTGAAATTTTTGAATATGTATACTTAATCGTAGAATATGTACTTTTTGTGTAGCAAACCAATTACTTTTTGTATAATAGATAATATAAAAACACTTTTGTAATAAATTAAGTTTTTTGTCATAAATAAACTTCTTTTCGTCTAATAAGTAAGGTACTCCACTTGTATTTATTAAACTTCTAAGTATACAAGTGTTTAATGATTAAAAGTTGTGGCAACAATTACTGATCATATCATGATGAAATTTGATAAAAAAAGACTTGTTCCATTTTCACATGCAGTTTATCTGTGCATTTGTAATGTTTTATAAAAGATTGATGATGTATCTTATAAAAAAGATGATATTGAAACAGGATAAATTTAATCAAATTGTGAGTTGAATCAGGTTCCTGAAGTTGTTGCAAAGTTTTTTAAAACTGTGAAAATTTTCTGGGTATCTTTTGTCACAAATGATACCCAGATATAGGGTATCATTCGTGACAAAAAAATATCATATAGCCCAAAACATTTAATTCTTTGAAACAAAATGCCTCTGTTTTTAATTGCAAAACTAGATAGGTAGTCTTTTGAAAATGCTACAAGTAGTTTTCATGACTTTTTATCTGGGGCTAACATAATTTTTTAGACTTCTGCTAACAATTAAACTAACATTGGTAGAGCAAGGAAGCATTTTTTTAATAATGAGATTGTTTACCACAAAATTTTCAAAAAATTGGGTGCAAACACTCTTGTTTTAACATGAATGGTTTTAAAGTGTAAATAAATGTAATTTGAATATAAATGTTGTGACACTATTTTGCTTAAATTTGTTAAAAACTTGTTATTAATCTAAAAAAGAATCACACTCTTATTTTATGCACTCTCATTCATCACTCCATTCTTAAATTAATGATATAATTTTTTTGGTAAAACTTTAAGTATAATTAATAAAATTATTTGGTAAATGTTTATTACCCAATGTTTTGTCTATTAAATCTTTTGCACAGAAACAGTTGTTAAAAACTTAAAAATCAAAAAAATTTATCAAAACTGCTTGCAATCATGTTTAAAATGATAACTTTATGTTTGGCTTCTAAATTAGCTGGGATAAAATTTTTGTTTCAGGGATAATCAATAAAGTTAGTTTGCTCATAAGGAAAGGGGGGATTCTGCAAATAGTGTACTTAAATGCATGAGAATAGGAGGTGGGGTTTAAATATAAAAGTATGTTCACACAACTAAATAAAAATTCCTAAAATTTTAAACAATTTCTAGGTTCTCTAGATTTTTAGGTGCTTGAGCACTCTATTTGTTTCTATTTTTGTTCCAAAAAAAACTTCTGATAGTTACTTCTGATTTTGGTTACCGTTATTTGGATTTTCACAAAGTTTTAAAGTTTTTCTGTCCACAAGTATCGATATAGATAAGAATATCAATAAGAAAAATAATTGATATACAATTATTTTTCTTTTAAAAAATGTATAGTTTTATGAATAAACATGATGTCAACTTTCAAGATTCTATAAATTTAGATATGATGTATTAATCAATTAGGGGCACAAAGTTAAATACCCAAGTTTTTTTTATTGTTATTTCTCTTCCTATAACAAATATTGATTTGATATTGAATTTTGTTTCAAGTATTTTGTTGAAAAAGTGGAATAAATTGAAACCATACTGTTTTCATTCTCGAACCAATCAAGTGTTATCTGAAACAAATCTTTCAGGAGATAATACAGATAAAACAGAAAATGATATTTTTATTGAAGATGAATACAATAAGCCTCAGCTAGATGAATTTCCACTGTCAGAGTATACTGAAAAAGGTAAACTATTTTTAAATCATACTTAATTATTGAGAATTTATTTATCAACTTTTTTATATATACATTTTTATATTTTAGTTTTACAGTATGGGTACCTTATGGTTAGTATTTTTATTGTAATAATTTATCAACATCAATCAATTTAATTAAGATATTTATTATTTTTTCAAATTAAATATTATAGATTCACTTTTGCTGGATGTGTGACTTTCTCCCTGATTTGTGTCTGAGTTAAACTTTTTTTTATTGTTTGTGTGATGCTCTTTCCGCTTTGTTTCTAAGTTGTTCTTTTATTTTAACTCTGCCCCAATTTTATAATTTAGTTTATGAAATTTTTTATATCTAAGTTTACCAGAAACATTTTTTTAATACAAATTTGCATTGTAGTTGTTTAAAATGCTGTAGATTTGTTTTTAACTTCTTAAAGTGATATAAAGACCATCAACATTTTATTGATCTTCCACAAACATTTTAAAAAGGAAGATTATTACAGTAATACATTTCAAAAATTTATTAGTACTTAACTAAATATTTGGCTTTACTTCTAGTAAAGATCAAGTTTTGTGTTAGCTAAACATGACTAGGATATTTTTACCTAAATCAACAGGTTATAATAAACAAATATGAAATTATTAATTAAGAAATAATGTTTTTTTGTTTAGTTGTTTGCATCAGCTTTACCATTGGCTCCTTTAATTGCTATGGTAACTACTCTTATTGATCTTCGCGTAGATGCACGAAGACTATTATGGTTTAACCGAAGACCTGTTCCCGAAAGGGCTGAGGATATTGGTAATATCTGTTCCTATTATTAAATGCAATATGAAAGTATTTTTTCATCTCATTAATAACATTTTTGATAAAACATTAAAATCTCCATTTTAAAAAGAATTTGATCAGTATTTTTAATAATATTTTACTTGTAGATTCTTTAAATTTAATTCTTTTGTTATTAATTTAGGAATGTGGTTCACAATACTTTCATTTTTAAATTTTGTTGGTATCATAACGAATGCTTTAATTGTTGGACTTATTTCAAATTATAGTACAAAATATAAAGCATATAAACATTTAATTCCTTTAAATTCAACTTTATTAGTTGATTTTAATTCAACAGCAAGTCATAATGAAACCATGAGTTCAACAGTAAATGTTTCTTTTACTGTAAGAAGTTTTCAGAATTTGTGGATTGTCATAGTTTTTGAAGTAAATTTGATTCTAAAATTTATTTAAGTTTCATTATACAATTTATTCAAGGAATTTGTAATTTAATATATGTTTTAATTCATTCAGAATAATAAGTAAAAGATTTCTTGATGTTAACTTATGTTAACTGGAGTGTGAAAAAAAAAAGATTAAAATCAAGTCTCTTCTTTAGAATGTTGCCTTGGTTATACAAATTTTAGCTGCTTATTTTATCTCTGATGAACCTGATAGTATTAAGCGAGCAAAAAAAGCAGTAAGTTTGTTTACATTATAAAATTATACTTTAAAGTTTTTGAATAAAAACTGGAAAGATTTTTATTTTTTTTTTAATTATTTAGTATATGTTTTTATTATTATTCTTATATTATTCTTATTTATATTATTCTTATTTATATTATTATTATTGTTGTTATTATTATTTATATTATTATTATTGTTATTATTATTATTTATATTATTATTATTTATATTATCATTTATTATCTTTACTTTTATTATTATTCTTAAATATTTAGAAAAATATTTGTAAAGTTTATTTTTCATTCTTTTTGTCAGGTTCATACTGTTAAGTAGTTTATATTTCTATGGGCAATTTAATCAATTACTCTTCATTTTACTTAAAAAGATGTTTACATAATTCTTGTCAGATTTTTATTTTCTCTTTTTTAAACTATATTTTTTAAGTATTTATTGCATGCAATGTTTTTGAAATTTTTTTTCTTTTTCTTTGTTTTGCTTTTTGTTGTTGTTGGAAGTGAATTAATCTTTAACATTTTGTGAATTAATCTTTAACATTTTGACATAAGTTTGCTACCCAGGCAGTGAATGCCTAAGATATAAATGAAATATGCTATAAAGGAGAATTAATCTTCAAATAAAACAATTTTTGAAAATTGTTAAAGCAAATATAAAACTAATAAAAGTTCTCAATGGAGGAGGGGGGGGGCACATTTGATAGATTAGGTTTCTTATTAACATATTGAAAAGTTTGTCTATTGAATTTAAAGAATTTTAAGAGTAATAAGAATTTGCTAAATCTAGCCAAAATAAATAGTAAAAGTTGACATGACACTTATGAATGAATGAAAAAAAAAATTCTAAACATTCATCATCGCAGATTGATGTATTGATTGATACAATGTTAGAAAAGCAAAACAATGACTGAGACATATAATGGTTAAAAACAGCAATCCACATTAACAGCTTTGCAGGAAAAGAGAGTTTTTTAAAAAAACTCTATTTTCCTGCAAAGCGAACACTTTCTCGCCATGTTTCTTTGATTTCTGTACATATCCAGCTTTTCTGTTTATTGTATCACCTGCAAAACCTAAAAAAATTTTTCTTATCAATGACCAAAAGTGTTAAAGAATAAAGTTTTATGCTTCTTTTCTTTGCTTTTATTTTTATGTTTAATGATGTATTTGGGAGTCTCTTCACGTTATCTGTATTGAATATTCATTTTTTTTTAATTGAAAACCAATTCTCAATTGATTTTACATCAAATTTAAAAACCTATTTTCTCTGATTGAACTCTTTTCAGTTATTGACATTTCTCTTAAGTCTGGCTTTCTTTTCTCTAGAATGTGTGGTGACTTTAATGCTTTTTATCAGAAAATGAATGACCAGTTTCGAATCTTTTTAAGTTATCATTTATTTTATTTCATATTATTTCTTCTATTTCGAAATAATTTACAACTTCACTTTATTTTATTTTATGGTTTTTTAGAAAAAAAATTTGAGACATTTTTAAAAAAATAATTTCGTTCTGCTACATTTAACCTCATTTTTAATAAACTTGTTTTAAAATGTTAAAATAAACATTTCATAGATTTTTTTATACAAATACATCAAAGCTTGATTTATTTCAATGTTCTATATTTTTTGTTTAACCAATTATTCTTAATTAATTAATTTTTTTAGAAAAGTTCAATAAACATTTCAGTTTTTGCCATTTTTTTGTGGTTGACCTTCTACTTCAATTTTTAACATTTTAAAAATATTCAAAAACTTAAAATTTTTGCAGCGTATTCTTTGCGGTAGGTGATAGAATCAAAAACCTATTCTGACATTTGAAGTTTTGTGTAAATTGATGACCAGAATATACCAAAATAAGTTTTTGCATGATTTTTAAACACTTTTTATTACAAATTTTTTTTTTAACTTATTGCCTGGGCAAACTGAAACCCTTAGAAGATGTATGTACACATCCTGCATGTTCTACCTATTTAGTCAGTTGATGTATGTACACTCCCTGCCTGTTTTACATGTTTAAGTCAGACTATCTGTGCACACTTCCTAATTTTTATAATAAATAAAATTTTATAAACAATTTAACTTTTTATTGACAAAAATCATAGACATAATGCATTGACAACAATCATAGACATAACGCATAAAACTAGAGCTAAAAACTTTAAAATATAACATACACACAAAAACATTTGCGCTCAAAAGGAATTGATCCCGCGTCACCAGGCGTCAAAGCAAAATTATTTTCCACAAGACTACTAACTATTTATTCATCATCAAGTAAATTATAAATATATACTTAGTTTTTTATGCTACACAATTATTCAAAACAATAATATATTTTTGGGTCGTCAATTTACACAAAATTTCAAACATCGGAATAGGTTTTTGATTCTTTCATCTACCATTCTTTGCGTGTAAAGCTACGGAACTTTGTGTTAAAATTTATGCAATTTAAATTTTGATTGGATAACTTTGCGTTTAAACAAAAATAAGTTTTATCTTGTGTAAAAATTTGTTTTGATTTACTTTGCTAGAAAATACTTTGCTTTTAATTTTGAAATATTTCGGGAAATGTTTCTCATTGTTAAAAAATTTAAAAATATAAAGTACAGTTGGAACCAGTGACAGAAACAACTGATATGTTAGCAAAAAAAGAACTGTAAGCTTTACATTAGGCGTTCAAGAGATATTATATCTTAGCTTATTTGAAATTACAAGGCAGTCCATTTACTTGCAAATCAGATGTCAGTAAATATATGGACAAGATTTGAACATAATATCAATCTAAGAACTGCCAGATAATTTTGTTATATAATCTGTATAGTAGATGAAACTTGCTTCAAGGAAGGTGGAGCTGCTATAGCTTTATGACGGTGTCATGACGCAGCACAAAAGTTAATTGAAAAAAAAAGTTGGAAGTTATCACTAAGTAGCTGTCACTAATGGTTGGTCTTTTATGTCAGAGGAGTCTTACATGACTTAAACTCTTCACTATACCAATAACCAGTTTAAGAAACTCTGGCTACCACGTTAGTAAAGTAAGATTTTTTTACATATATCTTGTAAGAACTAGTTATTTCTCGTAAAAAGATTTTCTTGTATAATTTTAAATTTTTTTAATCTTAATTTGAAATTAAGATTATTTTGTATCTCGAAAAAAGTTTTCATTTATCAAACGAATCTATAATTTATCCTAAAAATTGTTATTTTGTTGTAATTTTTGTTTAAGGCTTTTAAAAAAATAATCCAAAAGAATCCGGTGTTGAGCGCTATGTCCGAGAAAGTCGTTAAACATTATGCGGCAGCTAGCATGAAATAAACTGTGTCACTTGTAAACAAGACAAAACAAGACTACCTATTGTGTGTAGAGCAGCTACTAATCACCAGCCTACTTTATGTTAGCAATAGTGCAAGTGAAAGATTGTTTATATATTGTCACAGTACTATCTAGAAGAGTTCACAGATCTAGTCAGCTTATTAAAAAAACTTATTGAATCTATAGTGCAAGCTGTAAACATTGTCAAATAATTGCTCCTGTCAAAATCAGGTGAAACTCCAACTGCTATATTTTGGAGTCAACCCTAAAACTTAAAGATGTGTTGATTGCTCTTGAGAAAAAGTTGCCTTGAATAAAAGCCTTTTACATGTTATTCCAATAATCGTTTTTTTTTATTTTTTTTTTATTTTTTTTTATTTTTTCTAATAAGTCTTTATTGATGCAACACAGTGTTAAATGAGAAAAAATTTTGCTAAGTGATTTTCTACTAATTTGTAGTTGCTCTGTTCTTTTAAGAACATTGAGCACTCTTTTTGTAGAATACATTTTAAATTGTTTAAATATATATATATAAAAATATGTATATATATATATATATATATATTTACAGGTTTGTCGTTTCTTGTCTCTGTTTGCTTGTTTTTTGTTAATTTTTTAAAATGTACTGTTATGCGGATGAAATTGCTGTACTTGTTTATTCGACAAAAGGCTTTAGTAATGGTTATAATAATTTAAATATAGTCAACCATTAACCGTTAAAAATGTTCAACCTAAGACATGTCAACGTCACCCACCTGTCAGTGTTACCTCGCATTACTTAACCGATAACAATACGCATATATACGCCCTATGGTTTACTTACAATGATTTAGTTAATTGTTCTTAATAAATTTAGTAATTATATATTTATCTATATAATAAAATTTTAATGTCGTCAGCTCGAAAGATAAGTGTCGTATTAATAATTTATTAAAATATAAAAAATAATTGTCTAATCTATGTAAATTTAATATCATGTAAATGATAAAATTCTGTTTGTATAACGTTATGTTGTAACGTTATATAAGAATAATTTTTTAGATTTACATAACTTGAAATTTACATAAATTAGATAGCTACATATTTATATATAATTTTAATAATCTTTTGATACGAGACTTGCATTCCGAGATTAAGATGTGTTTTAAATTTGAATAATGCTGCTTCCAAAATGATATTTACTTTTTTTTTTTTAAAGGAATTAAAACATATGGAAAGTATTCTAAGTCATAATGGTTTGAAATCTGGACCTGGTAAAAGTATTCGAGTTAATTAGAGTATAAACACTCAATTCAACGTATTAAATAATCGGCCCTTTGGAATTATCTATCATAGCATATCAAAAAAGCATTATACTTTATCAAATTCTTTTTCAACTCAAGTGTGTTTAAGTTTTTTATAGCCTAATAATGTGTTTTGCTTACACCTGTTTGTTAGCAAATGTCTGTTAATCGTTTTTTTCTTGGGTTTAATGGATGCCACAAGATTAAAAGTCTGCTAAATGACGATATATATATAAAAAAAAGTAATATAAAATGTCGATATAAATATAAATATAAGTTTTTATGTATTTAATTAAATGTTTTTCTACTCTAATAACTTATTTATTTCTATTTTTCTTGGCGCCTGATTTTTTCACTTTCGGATGCAAAATCTAAACTTTTTTTTTAAAGGTGTAGGAAGAAGTATTTAAATGGGTTGGGGAGGGTCAAAAAAGTATTGTTTTCTACCATTTATGTGTGGGCTCCACGTTGTGGATTCTCTTTTTAATTATTTTAGTTCAATAAGCTGTAAATATTTTTTTTTATATTTAAATTATTTTTTAAATTGTTATAAATATTTATTATATTGGCTAATTATTTTTTCATTTTTCAAACAGTTTACGTCACTGTTTGATTTAAATCTATGTTTGCCATAAAAATTAATTTTATTTCTCAAATTTTATTTCTCTAGCACAAATTAAACTTGAGTATCATTTTTTTTTTAATTGGTTTTTCATTAGAAACATAATATATTGTAAATATATTATAAACAAATTGACTTTTATATTGAGTACCATAAATGTGTATTATTACACAAGACCTTTTAAATTAAACATTTTTTTTTTTCTTTGTTTAAAAAACAGTTCCAAAAATGATTTATTTTTACGCAATTATTTTTAAGGTTACGCACTTATTTTTAAGTTGTTATTTAAAGATGATCTTTTTTACTTATTTGTAAATATTTGTAATATTAAAATAAACACAACATTTTATTGAATATAAAGGTGTTCTTTCTCAATTTACATTTAGAGGTCGTAATATATGGATGACCCCTTACAAGCATAGCTTGACGAGAATTTTTCAATTCATTTGGGTAAATCTAATAGGTGCATATGCATTAAGTAGGGTGAAGCAAACACACTCTTTAACATTATTTTTAATTTTTAAACTTTTAACAAGAAAATTATTTTAACAATAATATATATATATATATATATATATATATATATATATATATATATATATATATATATATATATATATATATATATATATATATATATATATATATATATAATGGAACTACGTGGTCGAAAGTTGTATTAGGGGCTGCCAAAAAAACAAATGACCAACTATCTCTTCTTTTTGAAACCACAAAGGAACGTAAAGACCAAGAACGTAGAGAAACAAACGTCATCATCTATGGATTAAAAGCTACGCAATGTTCTTCACAGACGGAAAAACTAGAAAATGACAAATCGCAAGTAAATAATTTACTTAGTGCTATTGAATCCGATGGAGCAAAAGTGAGATCTATTCGCTGTCTTAAATCTAAAAGAAGCATCGATCCTTTGCTTATTGGGCCTGAAAACGTTAATAACAAAAATATGGTTCTTAAAGCATCAATTAAATTAAGAAACATCAAAAAATATGAAAATGTGTATATAGGTCGTGATCTAACAGCAAGTCCAAGATTCATTCTAAAAAATAAATTAATAGAACGAAACGAAAAAAATGCGTTAAGAAGTGAACAAGAAAAAATTAAATTTCAATACGGTATTAGAAATGACAATTTTACTCGAATTTTTCACAAATAGCCACTTGCAACTACTAATTTAGCAACGTCATCAAAAGTATCTTCCTAATAAAAGGCAAATATTGACTATACTCAAATAAAATTTCAACTTATTCAAGATCAACTTCTCAACAAAAACAAACTGAACACTTCTTACTTTGAATTGGATAAAGCCACTATCTCCTTAAAAGATGTGAATTATGTTTTTCTAATCAATCCTCAGTGTTCCATTTAGATATTCTTAGTATTACTAAAAACTTCGACGAACTAAAAGTCCTACTGGATAATCTTAACTTTAACTTTAGCTTAATTTGTTTAACGGAAAGCTGGGTTTTAGATACAGCATTTAATCAAAATTCTAGTTTTATTTTGCCCAACTACAAAGCCATTAGTTTTGAACATAAGTCTTCAAAAGCAGGCGGTGGTATATGTGTCTATGTGCTTGATGAATTTACTTATAAAACTAGATATGACCTCTGAGCCGGATTTTGAATCTTTTACTATAAAAATTTACAATAATTTATCTAAAAATATTATTGTAACAACTACATTCCGACCACCAAACGGATGTTTAAATAACTTTAAAAGTTACATAAGTGATTATTTTTGAAATAGCATGCAAAAAAATAAAGACTGCTCATTTTTATTTCTTGGAGATTATAACGTCGACTATTTAAAATATGGTGAAAATAAAAAAGTACAACAATTTTACGATCGCTTTAATGAGTTTGGAATGATGCCTATGATAAAGAAATCAATAAAAATAACACAAAACTCTTGTTTTGCAATCGACAATATTTTCCCAAACACACTCTTCTATTCCACATTTAAACCAGGCATCATTAGAAGTGACATTACCGACCATTTCCCAGTCTTTGCAATTTTCAAAAAACCAAAAGATATACTAAAAAAGGACTAGTACTTCAAAAAAAGAATCTTTACAACCCAAGCAGAAAATATGTTTAAACTAGAGCTATCGACTGTAACTTTGTTTTTCTCGAGACATGTGCTAATAACAGCTAGAACCTTTTTCTAGATAAATTTTTCAATTTGTACGATAAGCATTTCCCTAATAAAACAAGCCGTATTAAAACTAAAGAACTTCTTAATTCTTGGTTTACTAAAAACCTTTTAAAGTCTTCGAAGCGAAAACAAAAGCTATACATACGCGTTATCAAATCAAAGAAAGAACGTGATAAACATAATTACTTAGAGCACAAACGTCTATATAAAAGAACTAAAAAAATAGCAAGAACTACATACTTCAAAAACAATCTGTTAAAACTAAAAGGTAACTAAAAAAAAACGTGGGATGCAATTAAAGAGATTCTTAGAAAACAAAAAATACACAACAAAGTCTTATCAAGCGTGAATACTGTAGACGGCACACAGATCTCTGATGTAAAATTGGTGGCAACAAAACTTAATGAGTTTTTCAAACTTACCCAGCAAAATTAAACACACTCCAGCACATTTCTTGAGCTATCTTTCGATGTTGGATAAAAGCTTAGCATTTAAAAAACTCACTAGTAAAGAACTTGATAATTCAATAAAAAAAATTAAATATAAATAAAGCAACAGGCTATGATTAGATTTCAAAAAGCATAATCAAAGACTGCTATGAACTTATTAAAGATATTTTTAACAAATCGCTTAAAGCAGGTGTTTCTCCAGATAAAATCAAAGTTGCAATTATTACCCCCATTTTTGAATCAGGAGATGAAAGTCTGGTTACAAATTATCAACCAATATTAGTATTATCTGCTTTTGTCAAAAATCCTCTAACGCATCATGTATAATAGGATATGTGCATTTTTGTATGATAAATATGGTTTTTGATCAAATTACTCTACGGAACATGCACTTATGCAACTTGTTGAAGTTATCAGTGGAGCATTTTTTCATAACAAATTCACCTTAGGTATATTTCTAGACTTTTTAAAGCATTTGACACCGTTAACCATCAGATTTTATTAGAAAAACTAAAATATTATGGAATTAGCCACGAATACTATAAATGGTTTACCAGTTACTTAACTGATCGAAAGCAGTATATTTCTCTAAATGATGGCTTTCAGACAAACAAACTTAAAATAACATGTGGGGTTCTACAAGGCTCCATCTTAGATCTGCTACTGTTCTTAATCTATGTCAACGATCAATATAAAGTATCAAATACATTGTCTACTATTGTGTTTGCAGACGACACCACTTTATTTTATTCTCACTGTAATATTATCTCTCTATTTCAAGTAGCAAATAATGAACTAGAACAAATATCAAACTGACTTATCGCTAACAGCCTATCTTTAAACACTGTTAAAACTAAGTTTTCTTTATTCCATTCTAAACGAAAGTTTCAAAATATTCCAAAATCCTTACCGATTCAATATATAAATAATATCAAAATTGAGTGCTCATTTACAAATAAATTACTTGATATTTTAAAAGACGAAAACTTATCCTGGAGAGATCATATTAAACATATTAGCAATAAAATCTCAAGAAGTGATGGCATTTTATATAAATCAAACAAATCTTAGACAAATCTACACTAACTCAACTATATTTTGCATTCATAAATATTTATTTATTTTATGGCAAAGTTGTTTTGGGTAGTACAAATAAATCTAAACTCGACTGTCTCCTTAAACAACAGAATCATCCAGCACGCATTATTCATTTTCAAAATAGCTTCACAAATGCTAAACCTCTTCTAAAAAGCATGAGGATATTTATGAACTAAATATTTTCAAAATTACACAATTTATGTTTCAACATCAGTCAAAAAAAACGCCGAAGGTTTTTGAAAATATTTTCCCTGAAACATTTAACCGATACAATACGCGATCCACCGGAAGATTTAAAAAACCTTTCTCTACATCAAAACTTACGAGCATTTCCTATCGTGGTACAATGCTACGGAACCATTTTACAAGCCTGAGTGGTAAACTTAAAGAAGCCAAAACCTCTCAAAAATTAAAAAGAACATAATCGAACTTATTGCCAATCAAGATTCTTTACATGATTTTTTCCAACAATACACTTTTATTTCCAATTTTTATTACCAAAGGTTACTGGTGATAAGATTTTATCTTTTCAGGTTCTCCGGTCTCGTAACTATTTTAAATAATGAAATGTACTTGTATTTAAAATTTTTAAATATTTTATCGGAAATTACCTTCAACTGTAAATAGTTGCTTGACAAAAATAAATTATATATATATATATATATATATATATATATATATATATATATATATATATATATATATATATATATATATATATATATATATATATATATATATATATATATATATATATATATATATATATATATATATATATATATATATATATATATAACCTATTTCATTAATTTGATTCTTGT